GATCAGCCCCTCCCTCCGATTGACGGGGGATTATTTGCCCTCGCGTGCCCGAAGCGTCGGCCGAAGCGCTCCAATTCCAGTGAACAGAGAGCGACGGTTGCCCCGGCGGGATGGTGTCCTGAGACCCAGGGCGAGTCTGTCCAAAGTCGTTGAGCCCAGTGGCCCCGAGGCCGACATCGGATGATGCGGCTCTTTCCCCCACAGGGATGACAGGATTGTCGCGAATCGATCGCGAGCTATCAGGCCGACCATCCATGAGGCAGCGGTCCTGATCCGATCTGAGCCTCGGGCCGCTGAGCCCGTCTGCGCGGCGGGCAAGCGTTCGCGATGGCTGGCGCGCCCGGTGCCGGAGGGGGTCCAGGGCCGCGGGCCCCCGGCGCAGCGTCTGGGCGCCCCCTTGAGCGGCGGGAGACTGCCCCGGAGAGGGCAGGCCCACCAGACGGCTTGAGCCAAAGGGGCTACGGACTGGCGGGGATACGCGAAGCGTCTAGAACTCTGAAAATCCTTCCAAAACGGAGAGTTGTTGAAGGATTTTGGCGCGCGCGCGCGACAGCGCGCGCGCATTTCGCCCCATTTTTGCAAGGGGAACCCCGCGACGGCACGCGCGCAAGGGCAATCGAACGATTTCGACAGGCGCGCGCGAAGCCCGTTTCGTAGTGCGCTTTGAAAACGCGGAACAGACGCTGTGTTCCTAAGATGTCGCAAGAGCGCGCGTGTAAGTTTTTAAGATGAGCGTTGCGATACCGTGCGTACTGATATTTTGATCGGGAACTCGGTTTGGGAATCCTTCCAAAACCTACGGTTTTTGAAGAGTTTCGGCACGCGCGCGCAAGGGCGCGCGCGTGCACTCCGTCCCATCCGTCTCAAGGGATGTCTGAACATTTTTTGTTTTTGATAAACGAGTGCGCGCGCATACTATTTTGTGCGGAGGATGGCGGGGAAGTGTGTGTGTGTGGGGGGGGGGGGATACCGGCCTGGCTGGGATAGTATGACTTCACAGGTATGATGGAAGACGGGGCAGAATCATATGAAAATTGCCATGCGAAATGGGATCGAAAATTTCGGGAAGGGGGGGGGGGTAGAATCTGTTCATATTCTGGAACGGAGAATTAGCGTTGCGAAAGCTGCGCGATGCACGTGCGCAACACCTGCGATGGAAGATCAATGGACGATAAGCGATGCAAGCCATGTGAAACAAGTTGTTTTCCCCACTGGCCACGCAGCTCGGCTCTGCGCGCCCGACCGCACGGTTCGTAGGCTCCCTCGGGAACCCATTCGCTCAGTCCCCGATGTATTCGATGTCCACGAGGTTCACCGCCACGTCTTTGGACTTGCCCTTGGCCGTGCCACCCCGCACAGTCGGGTCGAAGCGAACGACCATCATGCTGGCGCCGCTGTTCTACACTCGGCCCGAGCGCACCGCCATGGGGCCCGCCGCCGCGCGCGCCCTCACGAGGCGCTGACGGGCGCCCCCCCGACGGGGCACCCACGAGGCGGCCACGGGCGGCCATGATGTGCACACGGGCGCCCAACAAACGAGCGCCGGGCGAAACCCAAGCAGACCCATCCATATACCTGGGTAACACAAATTCGCCGGCCCAGCGGGCCAGAGGAGTGCTAAGATCTCCGGAAACTGGTAAACAAAATTTCTGGTTCGCGCGCGCGGGGCGGCCCCTGGGGTCCCTGGATCAAAAATACCCCGGGCGGAGCCCGGGACACGCCCGGGACGCACCCGGGACACGCCCGGGACACTCCCCCAGATCCTCCAGGATCGCCCCAAGAGGGCCCCAAGAGGCCCCCAACACAATCCAAGAGAGGTCCGAAACGCCCGAGGATCGCTCCACGGCGCCCAAGATGGCCTCCAAACGGCCCAAGAGGTCTCCAAGATGACCCAACAAGCCTCCAAGATGCCCCAAGAGGCCTCCAGGAGCACTTCCAAGAGGGCCTCAAGAGGCAAAAATCAATGCTTTCTCTTTGGTTTTGGACAGATTTGGGCGTTTCAACCTTTTCGGTTCCCCGACGCCCCTAAACGGCTCAAGAGGCCTCCAAGATCGCCCCAAGAGGGCCCAAAAGGCCCTCAAAAGGGCCCCAAGAGAGCCCAAGACGGCTCCAAGACGGCCCCAGAGGCCTCCAAGACGGCCCAAGAGGGCCCCAAGAACGCCCCCAACACGGTCCAAGAGAGGTCCGAAACGCCCGAAGATCGTTCCACGGCGCCCAAGATGGCCTCCAGAAAGCCTAAAACGTCTCCTAGATGGCCCAAGAGGCCCTCAAGAGGCCTCAAGAGGCCTCCAAGAGAACTCCCAAGAGTGCCCCAAGAGGCAACAAACTGTGTTTTTTTTCCGTTGGTTTTGGACAGATTTGGGCGTTTTAACCTTTTCGGTTCCCCGACGCCCCTAAACGGCTCAAGAGGCCTCCAAGATCGCCCAAAGAGGGCCCAAGAGGCCCCCAAGAGGGCCCCAAGGCGGCCCAAGACGGCTCCAAAACGGGCCCAGAAGCCTCCAGGACGGCCCAAAAGGGCCTCAAGAACGCCCCCAACACGGTCCAAGAGAGGTCCGAAACGCCCGAATATCGCTCCACGACGCCCAAGATGGCCTCCAGACGGCCCAAAACGTTTCCATGATGACCCAAGAAGCTTCCCAGATCCCCAGGAGGTCTCCACGTGCATTCCCAAGAAGGCCCCAAGAGGCAAACAAACAATGTTTTTCCTTTGGTTTTGGACAGATTTGGGCGTTTTAACCTTTTCGGTTCCGCGACGCCCCGAAACGGCTCAAGAGGCCTCCAAGATCGCCCCAAAAGAGCCCAAGAGGCCCCCAAGAGGGTTCCAAGATGGCCCAAGACGGCTCCAAGACGGCCCAAGAGGCCTCCAAGGCGGCTCAAGAGGGCCCCAAGAACGCTTCAAGAACGCCCCAAGAGGGGGTTCACGAAACAGAATTTCAAGCTCTCGGCCCTTAGAGGCCCCCGGGAGGCCCCAAGACGCCCTCAAAGGCCCCACGAGGCCCCCAAGAGGCCCTCAAGAGGCCTCAAGAGGACTCCAAAAGGCCCTCTGGAGGCACGAAAAAACCCTCAGGAGGCCCCCAGGACGCCTCCAAGACTCCAGCCAGACGCGACTTGGGAAACGCGGGTCGGGGTGGTCCTCCTCCCCCGCGTTCGGCCTCCAGCCTCGAGCCTCGACCCTCCACGACGACGACGACGACGACGACGCCAGCGGGTGGCGGCGGCGGGCGGCGGCGGCGGCGACGACGACAAAGGCGCTCCTCATCGCTCCTCCTCCCACTCCTCCTTCCTCCTCCTCCTCCTCCTCCTCCTCCTCTTCCTCCTCCTCTTCCTCCTCCTCCTCCTCCTCCTCCTCGTCGTCGTCCTCCTCCTTCTCCTCCGGTCCAATTAGAAAGGAGGTGGTAAGAGAAACGCCACCAGAAAGTGTTCCTTCACGCCCGTGTCCGCAACGCCAGAGGACATCAGGACGATAACAGAGCCAACGTTAGCATTCAAAGCCCGCCACCCTCCGACACGAGGGTTCCCCCATCGCATAAGATGTCTCTTCCCCCGGCTCGAACGGCCCCACAGCGGGATACCACGGGCAACACGCCCCCACGATGGCACCAAAGCCGTCAAAAAACTGCAAACACCTAGAAGCCCCATGAAAAAACATTAACAAAATTATCGACAACTACACAGCTCCCGACGCCGCAGCTCCACACTGCAAACGACCACTCGGACAGGCGACCACGGTGCGACATTATGGGCCGGCGGAATGAGCGAAGCGATTAAATAGTACCCCCCAACACTGATTGGGCAATATATGGTCGAGCCTATGGTGTATTTGCTCTTACCTTGCTGGTCGTCTCCGGTTCTTGCCGACGCGGTGCGGTGTCTCAGGTACTTCCCTGTTCCCATATCCCCCGCCCAAAGAAAACACTGATGCAATCTGGCCCGAATAAGGAAACATTATGCTTTCTCTGGCCCATGGCGAAATGTGTCTGCCCTAGCGAGTCGCGTTTCGGTCCTCGCCAACACAGTGTCGCATGTGTTCCCTTGCTTCCATGCTTCCCTGCACCATCGGCCCGAACAAAAACATCGGACCCATGGTGTGTTTGCTCTGGTCTTGCCTGTGCTTTGATCCTGTCCGCCTCACTGACCCTGGGTGGGCCCGTCCTCGGCCCGAGGTCGCTGCCTGTGCAGAACGGCGCGTGCACCGTAGGCCCAAGATCGGCCCGGCAAAGATCGGTGAAGTGGATAGCTCTGGGGCACCTAAAACGGTGCGGTGACGGACCGCGCATTGACCTCGAATTCCCAACAGGCCTGAACCGCACGGTCCGTCACCGCACGGTCTTGGGCCCCGGGCCCCGGTCCCAAAATCGCGCGAATCGAAGATTAGGTGTGTCTGTGGTTTTGTCTCCCTCCTGGCATGTCCTGGCATGCCCCCAGGGCAAGGTTCTCAACATGAGCCACTCGTCGACGGCCCCAGGGCCAGGGGAGCGAGGGCCCCGCGAGAGCCCGAACAAGAAACGGCGAGAAGTCACCAGGGACCGAAAACCCCTCAGGACAGCTGTCCTTCACGGCGAGAGCGGGGAGGAGGGAGGAGGGAGGAGGAGGAGGAGGAGGAGGAGGTGGAGGAGGAAGAGGAGGAGGAAGAGGAGGAAGAGGAGGAGGAGGGGCGGCGGCTCGTGGAGGCCGCGGCGCGGCGGCCCAGGGCAGCGGCGCGGGGACGGCTGGGGCGGCCGTGGCGCTGCTGGCAGGCTGGCAGCGGCGGCGGCCGGCGGCCAGGGCGCGCGGGGGCCCGCGCGCGGCGGGCTAGCGCGGGCCGCGGCGCGCTCGAGCTCTGGGGGTCCCATCGGACTCGGGACCCCCCGGGCTGCCGAGGAGGAAAAGGACGAGGAGGAGGACGAGGACGATGACGAGGAAGAGGACGATGACGATGACGAGGACGAGGACGACGACGACGAGGCTAACGCCGCGACGGTCTGACTGGGCTGCCGCGACGCGGGCGGCGGGGAGGCCGCCTTCGCCCGCCGCGGGGGCGGGACGCTTCCGACCGCCGGCGGGCGGCAGCGAGAAACTGGCGGGCGGGGCGCGCGCGCGCTGCGGCTGCCGCCGCCCTCCCGCGAGGCTGCCGGGCCTCCAGGCCTTGGAACGTTTTTACCGGTTTCATCTTTCCCCTGTCGTTTCCGCTTCCGTCGCCGTGTTTTTGTTCTGGTTCCGATTCCAACACGGATCCATTTCGGTGATACATGTTTTTAATCGTTGTCAGAATCAAGTGGAAGCGTTAAAAAACGGCCCTGCCGTTTCCAAGGCCCACCAAGCTCTGGACCCCTGGCGGTTCTGACACCGAGTGGGTCGTTCAGCCCTGAGAGGTCGCAACTAGTATCAAGACGGGCCCGACACCGAATGTGTCGCTCAGATCGTCCTCTGGCATCAAGATGGGCCTGGCCAGGATCCGTGTACGTGCACACGGCAGGACGTCGGCGTTGGTTGCCGACACCGCGCGCATCGTTCAATCGTGAACGATCGCAGCTTTCCGACGCCGCTCGCTCGACATCGGGCGACTCGGGGCCACCAGCGGCGCCTTGCCTTGCACGTCCGCGCCGGAGTCGCCGCGAAGTCTACGCCGCGCGAACCTGCCGCGGGTCACCCAACGCCGCGCATCGCGCCGCGTGGTGCGCGACGCGCGAGCAACTGCACGCCCTCGCGCCGCCCCCCACGCAGCAGGGCAGCCGCTCTGGCCCAGACCGCGTCGCGCGAAGCGCAGCCACCTTCGCGCCCCCGCGGGCTGCCTACAAAGTTTCTGGCTGGAGCGCGCTCCCTGTCTTTCGAGTAGGGGATCGACTACAGAATTGAATTGCCCCAGAATTGATTCTCTCGCCGAGCCATGAGAAAAAGAAGTAAAATGATCCGTAGATTCGACGGGGAATCAACTTTGGGGTAGGTCTACAGTCGGATTTGATTAGAGAGGACACGCGCAAGGACACAAGACCCTTCCGAGGGCCACGTTGCAGTAGGAATGCAGAAGGCATGGGTCGCGAAACACAGGACACAAGGATACCCTCGACCTGGCAGGGTAGACTTACTAATCAGGGCCGACTGTATTCGGTAGTCGATCTTCGACGGATGGCGGTGTTGTTCTGTCGTAGTTCGTGTCTCCGACGGCCGCTCGTTACGATTGTGACACCCCTGTTAAGCCGTCGACATGCTTTCCGACAGCTGCGCCTCGTCGAGGTCGGGAGGTGTCAGAATGGCCTAGAGCGGCCCGCAGGCAAGAGCGGCCCGCAGGCAAGGGCTAGGCGGCGAGAGGGGAAGTGAGGACTCGGGGCGCGTGGATCCCATGGCGGGGCAGTGAGATGTCCTAGATGTTCTGGCCCCTTCTCTTTCTGCCCCTACTGGAGTCTTGACCTTCCCGGCCCCCGCGGGCCCAGGCTCCGAGGCCGCCCACGGCGACCGCAGCAGCGAGCGCCGACCGAGCCGACAGCGAGGCCGAGACTGGCCGACACCGACAGGGCCGCGGGCAGCCTGCGGGGGCGCGGAGGCGCGGCAGCGGCACCACAGCCGACCGAACGGGCCCGATCGAACCGCGGACACCCTTCCTCCTCCTCCTCCTCCTCCTCCACCTCCTCCTCCTGCTGCTTCTCCTCCTCCTCCTCCTCCTCCTGCTCCTCCTCCTCCTCCCTCCCTCCTCCCTCCTCCTCCTCCTCCTCCTCCTCCTCCTCCTCCCTCCTCCCTCCTCCCTCCTCCTCCTCCTCCTCCTCTCCTCCTCCCTCCTCCCTCCTCCCTCCCTCCTCCTCCCTCCTCCTTCCTCCCTCCTCCTCCTCCTCCTCCTCCTCCTCCTCCTCCTGTTGGCTCCAGTTGGCTCCATAGCAGTCTGTTACCGCTGGCCAAGCCTGCAATAAAGCTGCGAAAAACAGTGCTGGTAAAAGGTTGGATAAAAGGGTCGGGGAGGGGTCACGCCGCCTTGGACGCCCAGCACAACCCATCCCAGACCAGGGGGACCGACCTCCCCACGAACTTCTTTAAACTGGGGTCGATCCCCCCCTTGAGCATCTTCAGAGATTCCTCTGCGTGCCGATTGCGCGGGCCCCCGTGGCATTCCTGGAGGAGGTACGGGCGGGCCCGAGCGCTTCCAAACGCAGCGCAACGCACACACCAGGCAACCCTCCCCCCCATCAGCCACAGACGATGGCTCTTGTGGCAGGTCCGCGCAATTTTCGGCGGCCCTCCGCAGGGAAACACACAGACCGCGGCGCGAGTCTTCCCTCGCTCACCGCAGTGGAAACACAAATATGAACCTTTCGCGATACACTCGACCGCATGGCCTCTCGGGTCTGGGACCAGCTCCAGGAGAGACGGCTTGGCCCGACGGGGCCTGCGGATTTTGGAAACGTCGGGAAATCCACGGGCCGATAAATCATCAATAATTTCTGCAATCAGCCAAGCCGACTGCCGAATCAGAGGCGCCAAACCTTTAAACTGTTCACGCGTCCAAGGGTTGTGGGGTTGGGCCTCGGCACCACGACGGGCCAGCTCATGAGCCTTCTTATGGCCCCGCCATTTCCAATCTTCTACAGCAAGCCTACGGGCCTGGGCCAGGGAGAGGTGAGACCTGATCTTAGTCACAGAAATCCTATCGGGGCCGATCTCAGCAGCGAGCCTGAAAATGTCCCCCCAGAGCTCCGAGAAAGCGACCTTTTCCAGATCCTGAGTAGGTCCCATCTTCCAGGTGTCCAGGACGGCCTTGCAGTCTGTGACAACCTCCATGGCCTCAGGCCCCGCGAGCCTCAAAGCCATGACCAGCGCATACACTTCCCCGCAGCCACTGGCCTGGACTGCGTGGGGCAACGGTCCGAACGCAGACCCAGTAACATATCCTCCCCAAGAGTCCAAAGACATGGATACGACCGCCCATCCAGCTCTCGTGAACTGAGGCAGCTTGGGGTCCAATCCAGACCCATCCAGACAAATTCTCGGCCCCAGGTGTCCCCCAGGAGGAAACACATCCCACTTGTGACCAGCTACGGTGTGCGGCGCTGGCCACTGCCACTCTGGACTCGGGGCAAGCGCACGTGTGACCAGCAACTGGTTAGCAGGCGTGCAATCCAAGGCGAGAAGACCGCCCGCATCTAGGTCACGCCGAACAGCGGCATGAGCGGGGCAGCAGCGGAGGCGATGACTGGGCGTGCCCAGCCTTTCTCCACAAAGCTGGCAGAGGGGGTCCACAACACGACGATCGTCATGCAGAATCAGCTGGGTTGGGTAGCCTCCAGAGACAATCCCAGCGAGTCCCGTGGCTGCCGTGAACCTTTCTTCTCCCCGAAGCTTCTGAAGGACCTCGATGACGGGCTCGAGCATAGGCCCTCCTGAAAGACCTGGGACTCTGACACCATCTCCCAAACCTCTCAGCAGCATATCCCGAACGGCCTGGTGAAGAACAACCTGGAGCGACCTGTATCCCAAGAAGCTCACATCTACTTCAACTCCCCGAACCGTCACAAACTTGCACCAGCTTTTTACCTGCCAACCCAGCCTTTCGATCGTGAGGACAGCTGCGCCCGCGGGCCCACGGACATCTTGCCACCCACGAGCAGGTCGGCGATAAAACGAATTGAAACACTCCTCCATGACGCGCTGCTCTGCCCAGCTCAAGCGAGCGGCTTGTCCCCAAGCAAGGATGGGTAACGCATGCACGTCATATGATGGATCCGCCTTGGGCTCCACCGAGAGGGGAAACTCCAACGTCCTGCACCTCCCTTTTGGAGTCCCAAAGAGCGCACTCCCCAAACTGGCACGAAGCTGGCCAAGAGCGGAGGTGGACATACCATTGACACGGCAACCGTAAGTGGCCGAGGGAAGGCCTCCCGTCCGAGCAACCTTGAACAAACCCTTCTTGGCACTGCTGAGCCCTCGGAGTCTGCCCCTCCGAAGCCTGATTCTATGCAGCCGTTTTTGGAGGACCTTGGATCCCGTGGCTCCTTTCTGCATCGTCTGGTCGCAGCCCAGGTTCCGTCCAGAGCTAGCGCCAGTAAAACTCCACTTCTTAAGCCTAGACACAATGGTCACCCTCGCCGCCGAGTGACTGCAAAGGACGAGGCCCTTCGACCTCGAGATCACCAGTAGCAGCTTCTCGAGCTGCAGGCACAGAAAGTATACAGCTCGGGGCAGGACGCTCTCGACATGCTTCCTACTGCCCGAAGCCTGCGCCGTGATGTCGTCTACTACATTGAACAACTGCACACTAAAGTAAAACTCCCTGGTGAGGTCCATGGGGTCCATGAGCATCACACGTAAAAGCGTAGTCGCAAAACCACAGCCTGCCAGGATCCCTTGGAACGCCTGCACGGGGTTTCCAACCACTCCACACACATTGATGATTCTTCTCGCACGGTAGAGCGACAGCAAAAGGCGCAGCTTCACCAGACCAAACTTATGCTTGACGGCCGCGACGGCCAGCAAATAATGGCACACCTTCTCGTAGGCCTTTGTGAGGTCCACGAGGCACGAGCCTGAACAGCCACCTACACTTACATGCTGCTCGACCGTCAAACTCTGCTCCCAAACCGCTCGTTCGCAACTCTTGCCGTGCACACCGGAAAGATAAGCACGATTCTTATCACGCCCCCAACGCTTTATCTCGCCCCGCGACAGCTTGGAGAACACACGCGTTGGTGCGGGCAGCAGAGCTATCGGGCGAAAACCTCCTTCGGGCTTCCCCAACATGGCAAGGATGGCGGTGAGGAGGATGGTGGGGTAGGTGCCCAGGAGCTCCATCTTAGGCCACAGCGCACCCAAAACCTCCAGCAGGCCATCCGAGGCCTTGTCCAGGTCCCGAGGCCGAAGCGCATCCACTCCAGCCGCCGTCCTTTTTCGGAAACTTCCCGATGGCAACCCTGATGTCTCCCACGGACCGCTCCTCCAAACATAGCTCCTGGACCGAGACTCCCTGCTCGTCAGCCTGGGACTGGATCTGGTGCGTCAGGAACTGGATGGGATCGGGGAACTTCGAGGCCTCTGGGAGGGGCTCCCAGATGTCACACCAGAACTTGGTAAGCCCATCGACCGACTCTTGAGGTC